TATCTGCTTGGTTCCCATCAGCTGTAGCACCGCAAGCAAATTACCCTTGCTGACCGTGCTGACCGTGCAGTGCCTCGGGAATTACAATATCGTAGCCCAGCAATCAGGCGTAGAACACCAGGTATACGTACATATCATTTATTATGATCCACAACTTGTCTGAGATTTGAAAGGAAAGCAATGAAGACAATAATTCGTTGATAAAATTCTCGTTCCCTTTTTTTTATCTCCTCAGCTCCAGTCGCTTGGAGTGATGGAAAAGCCAGGAAGCAACGAGGGGTCTGGAATTTACATGTGCGATACATCACTGTCCTGGAGACCTTTGGCTGGGTCGCCTCCTCTCGACGCCCTCCAGCTGTTCTGTTTGAACGCAGGTAATCAGAAGGGATCCAGGTCAACTCTAGCGTTTGATGGTCAAATGTAAGGAAAACGTTCATTATTGGAGGGCATATATATATATATATATATATATATATATATATATATATATATATATATATATATATATATATATATATATATATATATATATATATATATATATATATATATATATATATATATATATATATATATATATATATATATATATATATATATATATATATATATATATATATATATATATATATATATATATATATATATATATATATATATATATATATATATATATATATATATATATATATATATATATATATATATATATATATATATATATATATATATATATATATATATATATATATATATATATATATATATATATATATATATATATATATATATATATATATATATATATATATATATATATATATATATATATATATATATATATATATATATATATATATATATATATATATATATATATATATATATATATATATATATATATATATATATATATATATATATATATATATATATATATATATATATATATATATATATATATATATATATATATATATATATATATATATATATATATATATATATATATATATATATATATATATATATATATATATATATATATATATATATATATATATATATATATATATATATATATATATATATATATATATATATATATATATATATATATATATATATATATATATATATATATATATATATATATATATATATATATATATATATATATATATATATATATATATATATATATATATATATATATATATATATATATATATATATATATATATATATATATATATATATATATATATATATATATATATATATATATATATATATATATATATATATATATATATATATATATATATATATATATATATATATATATATATATATATATATATATATATATATATATATATATATATATATATATATATATATATATATATATATATATATATATATATATATATATATATATATATATATATATATATATATATATATATATATATATATATATATATATATATATATATATATATATATATATATATATATATATATATATATATATATATATATATATATATATATATATATATATATATATATATATATATATATATATATATATATATATATATATATATATATATATATATATATATATATATATATATATATATATATATATATATATATATATATATATATATATATATATATATATATATATATATATATATATATATATATATATATATATATATATATATATATATATATATATATATATATATATATATATATATATATATATATATATATATATATATATATATATATATATATATATATATATATATATATATATATATATATATATATATATATATATATATATATATATATATATATATATATATATATATATATATATATATATATATATATATATATATATATATATATATATATATATATATATATATATATATATATATATATATATATATATATATATATATATATATATATATATATATATATATATATATATATATATATATATATATATATATATATATATATATATATATATATATATATATATATATATATATATATATATATATATATATATATATATATATATATATATATATATATATATATATATATATATATATATATATATATATATATATATATATATATATATATATATATATATATATATATATATATATATATATATATATATATATATATATATATATATATATATATATATATATATATATATATATATATATATATATATATATATATATATATATATATATATATATATATATATATATATATATATATATATATATATATATATATATATATATATATATATATATATATATATATATATATATATATATATATATATATATATATATATATATATATATATATATATATATATATTGTGTTACCTGTTTGGATTGGATTCCATACAAAAAATACTGGCAATAAAACAAGACATGAAAAAACAGAAACGCCCTATGACTCAAAGTGGCGAGATCATCATGTGACAGAGGGTGACACCATGTGATAGACCAACAGAAGCAAAAAAGAAATCACGAGTGCAAAACAACAAGCAGTTCTAATCGATCGCAATAAAGATCATAGTGAATCAGTTTGGGAACAAGAAATGAACTCGGGTGGCAGGTAGAAAATATTAGAAGCGATAAATAGTGTTAAAAATATGCTGGGATATAGAAAAGTCCTGATGCGAGTATCTTTCCAACTATAAGAAATAATTAAGTGAAAACCAGCAAGGGCGTGACCGGATGAGCTCCATATCGAAAATAAAAGGCCGCTTAGAGTCGGAGAGTGTGGATTAGGTTTCGGTGTAGCGTCCAGTAGCCATGTTCATCTCGGTAAGCCCGGTTGAAGTATTTTAGTGCACCATCGTGATGGAGCATAGTGGACAGGAATTAGAAATGAAAGACAGTAACAAGGGAGTGCTATTCTGGAACATAGAATTAGGAAGAAAATGAAGATTTTTATGAACATGTAATGAAACAACTTGATTATCAAATTTAACTAATGCTGTGGCAATATTGTGTTAATAGTTAATGGTCAACACAAATATATGTACTAGACATCAAGGTCATATATAAATATTTGTTAGATATAATTTCTTTATTAACAATTAATGAGAATGGATAGGTTAGTTTAAGTTAAGTTTAGGTAAGTGTAATTAAATAATTAAGTGCTTTCTTAGATTGATAGCTCAGCAGAAGTGTGTAGACAGTGACGAGTCCTGTTATTTTCCGACGGAGCGTAAGATTGATTTTTTGTCTATCAAGTATTTGCTTTTGTCATGATTATTACTTTTACTTGTTTGATGTTTGATTCATATATTCACATAGAAATACAACTTAATTTGTGCTTAATTTATTTTTCTTAAGATTATTTTTCTCTTAGTATGATATTTAATTCACTGATCATGTTTACAATAATTTAACGATTTGCTTGTCTAATGATCATGATTATTTTGTGTAGTATCTAATCCATTTATTAGCTTTGAGACATTGAATAATTGATTACTTTTATAATGATGTTTTGTTTTATACTATTTAATTCAGGTAGATATAACGTAATTTTGAATATTGTTGATTTTGCTTTCATCAAGTTTCATGATTGATGATTATATCACAGTGAGTCATAACTGTCTAGTTGTATTTAAAGAGTTAAGAATACAATTGATATCTTATCTATTCTTTTTATTTCACATAAAGTTTGGTTTTGTAATTTTATTACATTGCATTGATAATATTCAGTTAATAAATGTATTTATTTCTTTTACAAAGATTTAATTCAAACCTTGAATTGCACTAATTAATAATATTAATATTGTCAGTTTGATTAATCCTTTAACGTTACATTATAATTAATGAGCACATTTAAACATTTATAGATCTAACACAATAAGTCTTGATACTGATGAGCATTTAATAAAATGTAGAATAGGGTCCATAACAATTTGACTCTGTCTCATTCCGTCTGGTTATCTGACTCTCTCTCTCTGCGTAGGATGTGGCTATGTCCCCGAGCCTACCCCAGGTATGGCTGTGGACCGCCGGTGGTCGTGGGTGCGGCTCCTGTATCGCAACGACCAACCCGCATGCAGCCTCACCCTCGTCGCCAACCACGCAGCAATCACCGCCGCACACTGCGTGACTAAGTACGACTTTCTTTTTAGTTTTTGTCTCTCAGGTCACGTGAGGTCCATCTGTTTGTGACATTGATAAAGAAGGCATGAAAGTCTCTGGATATATTGCGTATAGGTCAGATGAAGGATATAAATGTATATTTAGGGAAGTATAGGCTAAGTTTATATGATCATCAAATTCATGAGACACACACTAATTGATATGAGGAATTTCCAGGAACCCAGCTTCACGTGAAATCCCTTACATAGACGAATTCAGTATTGAAATGCCAGGATACACAATCAAGGTTTGTATTTTCTGTGAGGCTGGCGCACACACGCACACACACACGCACACGCGCACACACGCACACACACGCACACACACGCACACACACGCACACACACACACACACACACACACACACACACACACACACACACACACACACACACACACACACACACACACACACACACTATCACACACACACATGCACATGCAAACGCAGACATGCACAAAAACACATCTGCATTGTCGTTGGCGACTTCAATGCGGTATCCGGCTGTGATCGAGCTGGCTACAAGGTCTGTCAGTCCCCATGGCTTGGGAGCTGATCCCAGCAGCGAGAACAGCTTCCTTCGCCAAGACTCTGGTTCCTGGTATCTCCACTCACTGGAGAATCCTCCAGAACTGCAGGGTTTACTGAAAAGCCGAGTTATGTGATACTGACCATATGCTGGTTATGGTTACCCTACAGGTCCACTTCAAAACTACTCATCCCTCCAGTGACCACAGAACTCGAAAAACTAATGGACCCAGTAGCTCTCTGGGAGTCTTTTAGTGTAAAACACTAGGAGTCCATTAGCGAACGCCCATGGGCAAGGTAGGGGGCATAACCCTTGGGTCTAGAAGTCTCCTGAATCAAGGAGGATCCAGGATTTTGAGGGACTGTTAGGGAAATCTGTTCAGTCGATACATGCTTGTGGTGAGGATGTTGAAGTCACAGAGAGCTTTACATACCTTTATAGTGTAGTCTATGTCTCTGGGCTGTCAGACCAAGAAGTCAGTAGACAGTTTGGTCTGGCAGCAGGAACTATAAACTCACTCAACAAAAGCATTTAGAGATGTTGGTACCTATGCAGAAGGACCAAGCTACATATCTTCAAGGCCTTCATACTGGTAGTTTGGCTGAATGGTAGAGAAACCTGATTACTATCTTGATGCCTTTTGTAATTAGCCCAATGCCAGATCATGGGGTGTTTTTGGTAGGACCATGTGTCCAACCGATGGCTACACTGTGAGATTGGCATGAGACCTGTTACTTGCATAATCCAGGACCACTAACTCAGGCTATGTAGGCACCCTGTGGATTACCCTGCCCGCCAGGTTGTCTTTTTGGGAGACAATCCTGGGTGGAGGAGGCCTGTGGGACGATCTAGAAAATTATGGCCTAGGCAGTTCAAACAGTCATGTTGCAGGAAGTTAGAGGTGGGCCAAGGGCTGCCCGGAGATTCGCCATAAGGGACTCCTATGGCTAGAAGTGAAGGGTGGATTAGGCCAAGCTCCCTCGGCGGCGTTAGCTCCCCGATGATGATGAATAATAATACAAGGATCAGTAGTCAATGGTGATGTGACACTTGGCACTCTGGCAAAGGCCATTAACTTCTCTTTGTATATTAAAGGTCTAATATTGGTATAATCTTACAACATGAAGTATAAAGCGAATCTTTATTATGAGATAATAATTCTCTACAAACATTTTCTTGTCAGAATACACTTGAAGCGTGTTTGTTGGCCTTTGCTGCAGCATCGCTCGTTTCACTACGGGCACACTCTTTAATGGTAGAGGTTGAGGCATTCTGTTTCATTGCACAGATTGATTTGAATAGTATCTTTTGTTGTTTCAGTATCAGAAGAAACTAGTGTTTATTTTTTCATTATCTCAGCATGGTAATCCTCTGTTCATTCAGTTGACCATAAACACTGATCATGCTATGATTGGCTGCCTGCATTTTGCTTTTTTTATGTAGATGTAGATATGGGAACAGAATCAAATTTTTCTGATGATCATAATTTAAAGTATGAAAGTAGTCTTAATCTGTTGATATTATATTCAGTGACTATTATTTTCAACCTCATAAAATTGTATGTATGGAATGAGTATACTGTTGATAGCATTTTCATTTATTAATTTCAATTTCTGAGATTTTAATGTCTTCGACGTAAGCATGTATCGACTGAACAGGTTCCCCAAACAGGCCCCCTAAATCCTGGATCTTGGTCTAGGAGGCCTCTAGGCCCAAGGGCTTCGTCTCATTGCTAAATGCATCAAGAATTGCCACCAGTGATTCTAGCGGATGGCAACAACGTCGGCATAGTCGAGGTCAGTAAACTTGATATTGCCCAGTGTTACATTATAGTGACTTTGGATAGTAGCTCTGACTATTGTCCAGTCCAAGCAAGTGTTGAAAAGTGTTGGTGGTTGCTAATATACCATTAATCCATATTGGAATTCCCCAAAGTCTCAGGATCTCCCATAACTACTCTCGATGCACAGAGTAAAACGCCTCCTTGAGGTCAATGTAAGTAACTCACGACGAAACTCACAACGGTGTTCCACAATACCTCGAAGCGCTAGGATACAGTCTGTTGTGGACTTGCCATGAGTGAATCCAGACTATTCCAGTCTCTTTGTGCCTTAGTAGATGGTTACAGATCCAATTCAGAACAATGTGGGCGAAAATCTTGCCTGGTATACTGAGTAATGTGATGCCATGATAATACCTACAGTCCCCTTCCAGGAAGGAATGAACACATTTGCGAAGAGGGCTTGGAGTTCAGTTCTCTCAGGACTTGGTAGGCAGAGCGAAGATCATTTACTAAGAAATGGTCTTCAACCTCCACAAGATTCCTGATGAACTGTTCCTTGTCCCTTCTCGGCAGTGCCCGAACCCTGCTCACCAAGGAACAGTACAAATCCTGCCTCTGGGCACACTGCTCCTCCTTCTGTCTAAGTGAAACACCATGGAGTGGTCATTTGAAAGACAGGGAGTTTTAAAGTGGACCCGCAAGGTAACCACAACCAGTCTATGGTCAATGCCTGAAGTTCTGGAGGATCCTCCAGCAAGTGCTGACAAGAATGTGATCGATCTCCATGACCATAGTACATATATCACTATACCAAGTCGATGTAGGTTGGAGCGATGCAGGTTGTAGTGCTGTCACCGGGAGCCAGAAATCCACAATCCTAGCAAAGTCCCGGAGAAGGAGACTGTTCTCACTACTGAGATCAGCTCCCAAGCCATGGGAACTGACAGAAATCTCACAGCCGGATACTGCATTAAAGTCGCCCGGTACAATTCAAATGTCTAGCAGGAGTTATTTGTCTGTCACAGATGTGAGTTTGGCATAGAACGCGTCTTTCTCATCGAGTTTACAAACATCGATAGGAACATATATAGCAATACGAAGCCAAATGCATGCTTCAATCTCAGTGCTATAACACATTCGTCAACTGGCAATACCTCTACTACTGAGGGTAGAAGCTGACTAGAATCAACATGAACATGTAGACTGGAAGTATTTAGTTATTACGTACTGGTTCTCCAAAGCTTGTCAGAACTTAACACCTGAGTCTCGAGTAAGGTTTGAGGAGAGGACAGGTACATAAGAAGCGGAAGACGGGGCCACGGGTTCGAGAGGAGCAGGCCGTGGCAAAATGAGCGAAGTCACTGGTTTGATTGGTCAGGAGGGTATCATTTCATGGATTGAGCTGTAGAACAGAGATCCGCCAGAACCAATTCCTCATGTAGGAATTGCCCAGAAACAATAATTTTCCCCAATTATAGATTCTGGGACTTGATTATATCAAATTAGTAACTCCACCAATTCTTGTGAGTGTTACCCTAAAGAATTATGAATTTAAGTGAGTGTTTTGTATGCTGCATTTATTTTTCAGTCTGCTATTATTTTGAAGGTGTTATAATGTTATCTATGAACAAAAGAATATTTAGTAACATGTCTAACTTATGGTTTATAATACAGAATTTACTGATTCACATTACCTACAATGATATTCAAAATTAATTTCAAAATATATAGGCCTAACTAATACTCACGAGTTCTCTGAGAATACAGATTAGAAATCAGTTAACTTCACCTGGTGAATGATCTAATGTTGCTAATGGACATTTATTTAGTTCCTTTTATCATGAGAACTTGTGACTATGGAGGATTTTTTAAAAAGTAGACTGATTCATTTGACATTAATAACTGTGAATTAAATTTTGATGAAATAGCTTGGGTATGGGATTCCAGCTTGAGGGAGGAGTGTTTGCATGGTACTTGTGGCTCCATGTTTCAGCTTAAAAATTTTGAGATTGAATGGTGCACCTTAGTACCAGAAATTCTGGCATCTTCACCTGGAATGAAGAACGGATGCGGTGAGCGTGGAATACCAATAAGGAGATACGCATCACTCTACACACTTGGAATATAATTATATATAATTCCGCATCTCTTCCTTCGTGAGTTCTCTCTCATACGCCATTTCCTTTTCTCTTCAGCCGAAAAACATATTCATTCACCCGCAATATGACCCAAATTCCAGCTACGCCCACGACATCGCAGTTATTGCTTTCAGTCCTCACTCAAGCAACATTCTGCCGACAGTGTGCATCGCGGACGAAGCGGTCATACCCTCCAGGGAGAGGAAGCAAGTGGTGAGATGAGGAGTTAAGAAATGCAGTGAACAAAATAGATAACGTTATTTGATATGTGAACTACATGTAATGGTGATGTTGAGGAAGATTTGTGATAAGCAAGGATGATAATAACAACAGCAGCAGTAATTATAATAACAGCGAAATAATGAATACTACAGCGACAGTCCTGATGCTTTCACTACTGAAGATCGTGACTTTCTTCCAGATCTTTGTGCTCGATGAGAATCGCCAGACCCCTGAGTGGTTTCCCCGCCCCTCAAAATGGAGTACGAACTGCCTGGGACTCTCCCCATCGAGCACCTTCT